TGAAACTCGAGCGGATCGTTGATGAGTTGAGCTTGTGATTTGATGTTGTCGAACTGGCTATAAGTAGGATAGACAGAGGAGCCTTGGAGCTGTATAGCTACATATATAAATATATATATAGATATATATATCGCAACTTGCCTAACCAAAACTAGCAATCGATGTAATTACCATTGTCATACGAGTTATCGAAACGAATTCAAATCTTTCTGTTCTTTTCTTTTTTTTTTTTTTGTTCTTTTTTCTATATCTATGGTATCGAATTGCAATCAAATCATTTATCAATCTTATCGAGAGACCGTGTGAGTTCGCTAATTGGGCTTAGTTGTGGCAAGTTTGAAAGTACCGTGGCGTGACGGCACATAACTGATACCTCTCCAAACGGGCCGGTGCCGGCCATGGTAAAGTTATGTTAAATTATTGTAAGTCAAATTAAGTTTTGTGATTAGATTCGATTAGTACATATACCAATATGTTGATGCCGCTGTTGCCAGGCTTTGTTCTTACCATATGGAGTCTCTTTCTTCTCCATTTTGATTGTATTCTCCGGCGTTGGCAACGCTTCCGTTGGCAGTGGTGTTGTCAGCAGCACCACCGTGCTGCAGTCCGTGCCGCCCCAGCCCATATCGCAGAAGCAGCGATTCGCATTAGTGCAGAACTGTGGAGTGCAGTGAGGGAGTGGGGAAAATATGTGGTAGAAATATGTAAGTGGGGAGGCATTCAAGTGTCTTGCATGGCAGCAGCTGATATTTTTTTTGTTTTTATTTTTTGCTTTGCTTTTTGCTTTTTGTTTTGTGTTCCACTTTTTGAACTTACACCACGATCTGAGCACTCTTGACCCTGCTTGTTTGTTGGGCACTTGGTTTGATCCACATGCGGAAAGAGGCTGACGCACGTTTGATTCAGACAAATCAAATTTTCACCGCATGGCGTGCCATCCTTGACCAAACCATGTTTCGGATAGTTGTTGGAGCCCAATTGACCGCTGGTCGCCCTGCAAAATGCACATACATATAGACAGTCATGTGTCCTACGAGCTAGCCAAATGTTTTATTTGTTATCCCCCCGCCCCGACCCGCAATTAACCGAGCTGTAATTTTCGCTACGCACTTGCATTCGTATTCCTGCGCCTTGATGGAGATAATCGTACGCGAGTAGAGCTGGTCGAAGCCATCATTAACGGGCTGCCTCTCACCCTCCTTGCACTGCAGCGTGCCGCACTGCACATTCCTGTTGTACAAATGAATAAATATTATTGATAAGCGAAACTGTGCGACGGCTCCACTGGCAGGCACTCGAATGTGTTCATGAATAGCAACAGAAATTACGGCAATTTCAAGCACTCAATTGGATAAATCAAAAGTAATTGAAGTACCAGCCGGCAAATTCCAGCTCAATTTGTGGAGCAAATCGTTCAAAAAGCAATTGAAGCGATTGAACTGCATCGCTAACAAATTACTAAATACGTTCAGTCGTTCAGTGTGACTTGGCATGCAGAATTCGTTAGTAGAATAGAATGGCAGGACTCTTAGGCTTAGAGCACGGTTCAGCACTTACTCTGGATCGCATTTGATGTAGTGATCGTTGGCGTCGCGCCCGCAGTGACCGTTAATCGAGCCCTTCGAGTTGAACTGTTCGTAGCACTGGCGATCGGCCGCAAAGCCGCCGTAGCCCCAAATGGCCTCGCACTGCAGTGTCAACGTGGGGCAGTAGCCCTGGAAGCAATAGCCTGTGCAGGGAATGAGAAACAATGAAAATGTTTGCGTTGCCAATCGAATTTGTCGTCGTACCCGAAACACCCGATTTGCTCAGACCACAGGGCGAGCCATTTTTCTTGTAAATATCGACGGGACATTGCCCCATCTCGCCGTCGCAGTATTCGGGCAGGTCGCACTCGTTGTGGGAGTCACGGCATATGTAGTCCTTTGGTCGCAGCTGGTATAAACGCAATTGTGTTAAAATCAAAAGCAAACGCATTTTCCACTTTTCCACTTTTCCACTTTTCACATTTCACATTTCACTTACCCGGCATTGGTCGCAGCAGGCGCCGCTGGCACACTGTGCCTCGGACTTGAGCTTACACGTAATGCTATCGCAGCAGGGATCCAATGCGCATTCCTCAAATGTGCCACAGTCGCACTCCTCGTCCTCCTCGATGATTTTGTTGCCACAGTTTCGGCGCAACTCAATCTGCAAGTGATATGGATAGACATAAATCAATTTCTCCGTTTTCCACGAACAAGCAATTAGGTTTTCCCTGCTCTGGGACGCTTCAAAATGTATTAATAATAACAATTGTTTTTAAATTGACTGGGACCTGGCTTGAGTTAGGGCAATTTTATAATCACCTCAACAATTTAACAAGAAATGAAATTAATATTGAATTGGGCATATCAAATTCTGAGCTGGTTGCCTCGAAAAGCTCTCGAAGCAGAAGTTACCTAGCGTAAATATTATATATAAAAAATATTATAAATATTATATCTATCAAAAAGTTTATAAATTTCTCTAGCATAAGACTTCGAGAACAGAGTAAATAAGAAATAAAAACGAATTATTCGGAATGAAAGCATAAAGAACAATAAACTTGTTCTTCTACAAAAATATTGACGCTGATCTTAGTACAGGGTATTTTCGAGTCAATCACACTAGTGAGCCAACTATTCGTAGGCGAGTTTATCTGCGCTGATGCAGTTACTCGCAGCAATTAACCCTCATAACGGTCAACCGCACAGGCAGCTGAAAACCTATTGTATTGATGAAAGCGCTAAAGTGGGAAGGAGACAGAGAAAACGAGAAAGAGTGACGGGAGGGGTTGGGGGTAGGAGGCAGGTGTATGGGTTAGCTGTATGCATCTATCTCACCTCGTTTGGCTTGTTGAGCAAACAAAGCCCGTGACCCGTTCGCAATGCGTCAATGTAGTCCTTTTTGCTGCATTCAGAGAATTTGTATGGCTGCACATTCTCTTGGCCGACAATCGATTGTGCCATAATGCAGCCATGCCAGTCCCGACAGAAGCATTCCTCACCTGGATGAATGTGTGAAATTTGCATGAAAACACAATACAATGCAACAGCATCAAAGAGATTGCAAAATTCTTGTAATAATTGAAATTTAAGGCCATTGCATTGTTATCGCATCGATTACGCTTTGCTCAACTGAGCAGCAGAGATGCGAGCCGAGCTTCAAAATCGATTTCAATTAACAATTGAGCTGGGCGTTAATTGAAACAGATAATTGGCTAAACAGAGCCAACGTGAGCGAGCACAAAGCATTCACGCCGAATTCAGTTATAATGTGTTGTGATTGTACTTACGGCCGTCGTCGTGGCCCATGCCAATATTATGGCCAATCATGTGGGCCATTGTGCCCGCCAAAAGGTGCGGCTCGTACACATTCACATCGACGCTAATGCCGACGGCACGGGGCGTGCAGACAGTCTCCGGCACGGCCATGCCAGCCTCGCCTCCGGCAAACGTTTCCCCACTACAAATTCGAATAAGCACGTGCATATGCATACAATATAGGGGTGTATATGTATATATACGTGTGTGTGTGTATGTACTTACGATAACAGCTGGGTGGTATCTCGCTCGATTTGGTATATATTTCTAACGGTATAGTCATTAAAGTTGGATATGGCCTTGCTAATGTCCTTGCTGCCGTCAATGGCCGCTTGGTTCTTACCCCACGTCTCGATATACACCACCGATACACGAGTGTTTAGCGTCCGGAAATACTGAGCAGTCAAACATTATGAGAAACACATATACAAAAGTGTGTGTGTGTGTGTGTGTGTGTTACTCACCAAATCAGCTATATTGGCCACCTGTATAGCATCGTGTATGACCTCGGCGCGCGTGCTACCGTTGCGTTTCTCAAACATGGCCTTATCCACTATGATGGCCGTCTCAATGTATTTGGTTGCCTCACGCACGTCCCGCTTATAGCGTCCGGCTCCATTCGGATGAATCTCATCAACGACGCCGGCCGACAGGTGTTTGGTCCGGCGCGATAAGCGCCATGAGTCCAAATTTCCCGAATTGGCACAGCCTTTGTTCGCCTTGGTGCGTGCCTCGAAAATCACATGTGGATGCTTCTATAGAGACGTCAGCAGACACAGCGGCATAAATGGGAGTTGAGTTAGCTAGCTGGCAAATGAGATCACTAAGCTCTTACCGATAGATCGCCGCCATAGAACGGATGAATGACAAAGGTCTCGTTGCCAATGTGTATGACGCCGCTGACGCCGTTGCACGTATGGAAAGCAGCGCTGGCGCCCGGATAGTCCTTCACTGTGCCATGGTAATAACAATGCTCAATGTCCTGCCGGAAAAAATAGGATTCAAATTAATAGTAAGAGCGTGAGATATATAAATACTACTAAATAGATCATAGAAACCAAATATAGCTATTCGTGTTAGGAACAATTCCCTAAACTAAGCTGAGGAAGTGAGGAAATTGAATTTTTGTGAAGTCATGGCAGAGTTCATAATTTATATGGGATTTTAATCAAGACGATCTACGTCGTCTTTCCGTTCGTCTGAACACAAAAATCTTCTGAGTCCCATAGCTAGCGACTTGAAATTTATAGTATATATTCTAGAATATCATACACACGATAGCTCATCCTTATATCGCTTAACAATAATCGATATTGCACTACTTGAAGACCATAACAGCAAGGCACTTCAACTTAGCACAGATTTCCGTGCAGCTCGTAGTCACTGTGAGACTTAAAATATATATTTTTGAACCATGTGCAGTCTAAAGCACTCTCAATCGAAATATATCGTTATTTTGATCGAAAATTTTATACCGTTTTCCTATTACAAAAGCTAATCGCAGTGCATGCCGCAGTCTTGAGCACCAGATCTAGACATCCTTTATCTCTAATATGAACCAAGCAGAGCACTTCAATTTGTCGTTTCAATCCAAACATATGTCAGAGCTGAGAGCTGAGCTGAGAGCATTTACTCTTTCAGTTTTCATACATTTATTTTGAAAATATTTTCGTATTTGATGTTCATGATTATTAAAGTGTAAGTGATATTGATATTTAGCAAAACAAAAGAAAGGCATATGCGCGAACGCCGGGAAGCTGTTACTTAAGATACTCGTATACCTAAATCAACTGCGATATGTACCAATGCACTCAAAAATAACAAAACAAACGGACCTATGCCACCCATCCACGTCTGCCACGTCTGTTTCGAATATCCAAGTATTCGATGCTGCGATTCGGTACGGGGTTTATATAGATCCAATGCTTGGCTATGCGAAACAAACGCGTGCAGCTGGACTGGGTGGACAGCTCCGAGTGTCGACACTAAGCTTCACAGTAAAGAAATTTCGAAATTTTGAGAGCCGACTAAATAGCACGTAATACAAATTTGGCGGTTGCAAATTGGTTTTGGACCCGTGGTCCATGGATCACGTGAACAGTTTGCATTATGGAAAATGGGACGCGCCGCGGCAGCTGCATGGGACTCCACTAGAATTTTGTAGTTATTTTCGACGTTGTTGCTGTTAGTGTGTTTGTTGTTAAGACTATATAATCGAGTTGATTCATCGCTTTATGGTTTTGCGTCTGATGGTCTTGGTCGTTGATTATGTTAGCCCCAGTGCTGCGCACACCTATATAAATAGACAATCGGCTGCCCTCTCCAGATCCCAATTCTCTTTTGAGAGCACCACACGCGCCTCGTGCTCATCGATGCCCATATCCTTGAGGCGCTCAATCTTCAGATCCAATTCGGGAAACGAACGCGACCCGCCCGCATACGCGCCAGTCCAATGCTTGGCCGTCAGCAAGAATAGATCGTGCCGCTTCTTAAATTGATAGGCGACCACAAAGTCCTGCCAATCGTCCGGCTCGGCAGCGGTTAGCATGCCCTGCAGCGACAATAAAACGGTGCTCAGCGTCATGGCAGCGGCCCAGTGATCCTTCAAAATGTCCATGCGTATGGCGCCCGTTACCGACGACACATTCGGATGCCAGATGCGTGTCATGAAGCGCACTTCGGGCGGACAAAATGGATACTTATCGGGCACCTTGATTTCCAGCACAAATCGGCCGCCCTCATAGGGCGTGCCGCGTGGCCCGGTTATCTCGCCGCGCAGCTCTGTCCAGCTGTCGTTGACCAGCTCCATTTTGATCAGGCACTCGCGAAACTCTTCGCCACTGAGCGCCTCCTTGAACTCGCGCTTGACACGCGCCTCAGCCATATTTGTCATGTCGTGTTTCTTCAGTTTGTTCTTATTTATTAATCTCCCCTTTCGAGGATTTTGGTTTTATTTTTTTATTTTTTTTTTTGGTTTTGCCTGGGTGTTAAATACGAAACGCTTCAGTATTTAAATTCCATCAAACTTACTACAAAAAAAGACTGCTAGATTCGTTTCGTGTACATGCACCAAAACAGATTCCCCCAACAAACTCGGATCAATTGAGCTCTACTTACATGTCGATTGCCATCCACCTGATATCCACTGACATGATAGTGCTTCTGCTGTATGTTGGGTGAAAGTAGTTGACTGTCAAAGTGGAGAGAGTGAGAGGCCAAAATGAGAAATATGTTGGGATTGTTCTTCACGAGTTGCCGAAAAGTTCTACTCACGAGTTCAGTTCCAAATCCAATCGGAATTTGTGATTAAATGCCTTGATCAGCAATGAGGTGCGATGAAAGTGTTTCTGAAATGGAATATAAATACAATTTTCAGCTTTTCACAAAAATTGTTCATTTAATCAAGACTTTCATCCGCAAGCGTGCAACATTAATTCGAACTGAAGTTGACTTTTGGCTTTTGAGCATGCAAAATAAATTCCAATTAGTTTTCTGATTGGATGCCAATATATATATGTATTTAAATTCGTATATGTATATATTGTGCACACACCTTTGTCCTGCCTCTGCTGAAGCCGCTGTCGTCGTGTGGGCGTGGTCTTTGGCCCGGCTGAAAGCACATAAAAACACGTAATACTTGAACGCTTATGAATCGACATTGGGTTCTCACAGCACATAGACCACAGTAAGTGCAATGATAAATATGATTATCTAATATTCAATTACAGTTTCTGAACATCATCCATCTAGTGTATAAAGTTTTGACAGTGTGCACAAAAAAAAACTTGGACTTTGGCCAAGGTTCTGCTCTAAAGGTATTTGTCAAGTTCTCGCCTAACGAGAGTGGGACCATGAAGTGAGTGGGTGAGCGGGTGAGCGGGTGAGTGAGTGTGGATGTGTGTGCGTGTGTGTGGGAAAAACAATGGAGCAAACAATATGATGAATGAATGAAAATAAATGTGAACATACCATTGTGTTTGATTCGATTTTTCTAGTATTTCGCTTATGCAAATCTTTGCGTACCTTTGGAGGGCTAACTTCACGTGTTGAGATTCCCATCTTCTCGTGATGACGCAGCTGTACCGGATAGATAATTTGATAATAATGTCCACCAATACGACGCACAAGTTCCTGATTTTGTCTATACTCTTTGAGCAAGCGTTCCACTTCACCTAAGCACAAGTTCGGTATATAAACACGATTATATTAGTATGGAAAGTCGAGCACAAATCTTGTCAAATCCAAATATGAAAACGTATTTCGTATCTAAATATGCTTACCAACAGGACTTTCTTCGTTCCAAAACGAATCATCAAGTGTATAATCAGCTTCTGCAAAATAAATTTTATAGTAATTTATGAAATTTGTTCTCATAAACAAGTTGAGTTGAGCTTAAACTTGATTGTTTGGCTAAGCTCTGATTGAAAAGCAGTAGGAGAAGCCATTGAGTCTTATGGTACTTTAACTATATATATAATATACCTAAAAATATTTACTCAAATATTTAATATAAATGTTTCTGAAATAGTTCAATAGAAGTCAAGAAAATTCTACTTTATTTCAGTTTAGGCAAACAACTTGAGGCCAATTGAGGCTGAAGACTATGGGCAACTGACTAATGTTTCTTAGCACACATAAACAAAAGATGTAAACAATTCGATTAACTTTTTTTTTCACTTTGTATTTTCCTTTCACTCATATCATTTTCACTGATGCTCTCGACCATATATTGTTTCAGAATCCAAACGCTTTGCCAAATTGCGTATACGACGGTAAAGCGTAGGAATTCTAAAACGCTATGATGGACATGTTCGCTGTTCATACTCGTAACAATGCAATTATTAATAGAAATACGTAAAATAACTCAATAAATGCAGGAAAATTGCGCAGCAGGAATTTCATACATTTAGATTGGTTTGCTGGCTCGCAGTCTCTTGGCCACGTTAATTTTAATATGTGCATTAAATTGTTCGAAAACTATTCATATCATGTTGCTGGCGATGCCAAGTGAACTTTGATGGCTTGTTTAACCCGGCAAACTATTTTCGACATAGCGTTACATATAGCACTTGAACAATTAAGTATGTGTGCATGTGTGTGTGTGTGTGCGTGTGCGTGTGCGTGTGCAGTCAGATATTAAGCTGCACAAACTCAATAATTGGCAACTAATTAGAAGAATGAGCTAAGCAACAATGGAAACTGAAAGTGTTCAATGGCCGTTTACTAAATCAATTACCAAATATTCACAGACTGTTCACCAAATGGCTAAACATGCACAATTTAGTGCGAATATATTGGCTTAATAATCAGAAATTGCATTTCGACAATCAAGTGATTTTATTTATTCATGAAGAATTTTTCCCATCCAGCTCCGGTGAATACCTGTGGTGGAAACGTACAAAATGCCAATAATACTAAATGGTATGTCGATTGACTGATTAAATATGGACTCGTCTTAACTTCGTTATTTCTCTTTCCGTGTTTTTCCGTCTAAGCCAATCAGTTGCATGCACACATAGCATGAAAGCCACAATCAACAAGTGCCCAGACAAGTTAATTATTTTTGCAGCTAAGGGGCAAGCATCAGATGCATAGCATAGTTTAAGGAACTCGGCTACATTCACAAACAGAAACCGCAAAAGCCAGCAGAGGTAAAACAAGCAATGGAAAAGCAAAATTTTGCCATTCGATTGACTGAGCTGACCTGACGGCTCCATACCCTGTTGGCTCCGAGTCTCTTATGGAAATACCCAATATTTATACTCCGAGTAGCCGTGCAAGCCGCAAAAACTTTAGATAGTCCATCCATTAGACGCACTTAACACATTGCAATGCCATCATCTATGCGTGAGTGTTTAATAATTGTTTTCAATTTTGCAGCCACAGGCACAAAACCACTTTGTTAGCTGAGTACAATTACTTTGTGTGGCTGGAGCATAAAAGGAAATCAGAGAACGATGATAGCATCATAAATGCAAAAGCACGTTTCCATCTAAATCAGAACATTTCAATAGCAGAAAAATGTGAAAAATGAAAAGGAAAAATTGCAAATGAAAATGGAAGTGGAAGTGGAAAGGAGCAAAGCCGCAGCCTGGGCATAGCTGCACAATTTGCAACTTTTTCAAACAAGTTTATTTTCCATTTTCTATTTTCCATTTTTATTTTTTTTCTTATGTTTTTTTTTTTTTTTTGTTTCCTTCAATTTTGCCTGGCCACAGTTAATTGATGTGGTAAATTAAGCAATGCGCCTGTCTGTTGGGCATACAATTGACCAAAAAAAAAAGAAAACGAAAATAGAAATAGCAACAGAAAAATAAAATAGAAAAGGCAGCAAATGTATGCCCCAAGGCATACACTATTATTTGCTCATCGATGCGCGCTTAAAGCCCTCATCAGTATTGACTGCTGTCAATGCTAAAATTTTGCTGGCAGTGCAAAAGGGGAAAAAACAAGGAAAAAACGAGAAGGGAGAAATAAGAAAAACTTGCGTTATATTTGCACAATGTGTTTATATTGGGGCTCTGCATTGTTGCACGCCAAGTGGTATGCCACTCGCCCAGTCACATAGTTGCGACCAAATCCCACAAAATGAGCATCAATCAAAAGTAAATCACGCCGGCAACTAGATGAAAGCGTGACATGTGTTGTAAAAAAATTCCCCAAGGGTTGAGCGCCACAAAAAGAACTAAACCAAAGAAAAAAAAATTAGGAAAAATAGGGCAGGAAAATTCTTTAAAACTGGCTTTAATAGAGGCTTGTGCCCGACATAGCAACAACACTCTTTTAGCCTTCTACTTCTATGTCTTGCAAAATCTAATTTTCGATGTAAATATATTCAAAATTGCCGTCGGAGTTACAAAGCATTTTTGTGTCTGGTTAACTAACAAATTACGAAACAATTTCATTTACAGTAAACTAGATTTTATGAGATTCCATGCAACAACAACAATAGAATGCAATATAGCAGCTATATATAGCCATTATGAGTACTATATATGTGAATGTGTGTCTACTTTAAGTGGCTATTAGAGCTGGCAGAAAATGTTTAATAAAGACGCTCGAGTCTGGTTTCAAATTGCAAAGTCTCAAGGCTCAGTCAAGTAAAGTAATGCAATAAAAAAAGCAAAGACACTTAGTTAACTTATTAAACTAGAAGTCTTTCAATGCATATAGTAATATCAATTAGTGGTAAAGGTCGATAGATGTATTGATTGACTATGCTTGAAAGAAGCAAGCCAAGATGCAGCTGAGTTGCGACTGCCTTAGAACTATTATATTGCTAGTCATAAAATGTGAATAGTAATACGTAAATACATAAGTATATCAATAATAAATTATTATAACTAGCAAATGCTGGCTTTGCAGTTCAGTTTATATCAAAAATTAAAAAGTCGCAGCAGTAGAATTTCGGATGTTGTTTCTATGCAAATTAAATTGCTTGGTTTTGTGTTAAATAAAATAAAATAAAATAAATGAAATTATATATATAATTTGGCTTTTGAAGATCATAGAGAGCGTCTCATAGGTCAACTGCTAATTAAGTGAAATTATGTCGAAGGCATAGTAAAATGGTTTATTGTAGAAATCAGCTAAAAGCTTGGAAGACGAGTTGATGCAGATGAGACGAGCTCTCAAAAGAAGAGAAGTAGATTTTATAAAAAAAGTATAAAATAATAAAAAATATAAAATATAATTTACTGCCTAAATATTCATATGTACATGTCTATATATTATATCTAATTAAATTTGATTCCAAAAGAGAGGTCAGCATACATTGCAAAAATATAATACAAATACATTAAATTATATACATCATAATTTTCTAAGTTTCTCTTTAACTTTTCAACCATTCAATATAAATATTCAATTCTAAATATTTTAAAATATTTTTTTAAGCAATTTGTCATTTTTAAATAAACACTTCTAATATATTATAAGTTTGCTATTTTTAAAACCATTTGATTAAAATGGAATTTTCAGTTATATCTTTTTTAATTAGTTAGTTTCTTAGACTATGATTATCCCGT